GGTCAGAATATCTTGGAAAGCATACTACAGCTGGAACTGCATTACTGAGAGCAACCTACTCAAATACATCAGAGAGAAACAGGTTTTCCAAAAAGCCTCCCCTCCATCTGCAAATCTAGTGGATGTTTTTAACCAGTTACAGAGAGCTTTTCCTCTTAGGATATCTACTCAGAGCTTTTTCCCTTCTGCAGCATCATCAACAAGAATACATTTCAAGAGGAATCTGTAGTGAAGAAAAGAACCAATATGTCTTTGCATGATTATCAGTGGAGTTTGAGAGCACGGTGATAAAATGCCAGGACAGAAGCGACAGCAGATTTCCAAAGCTGCTCATCCCAGTGGAGCTACATTTATACAAACACATTTGTAAGAAACGCAAAGAGCTTGATTACAGTAAATATGGCCTGATTTTGCAGTCATGAGAAACTAGGTCAGAGGGAGCTTAGTTTATCACTTGGATATTTATGCATCATTGTTAGACCTTTCCCACGACTTCCCAGCTGTATCTCCTGTACATCCCCACAGCAAACTGCACTCACTGCTGTCATGCGAGATGCAAAGAAGGAAATGAGGCTGTATTACTTCTGTGAAAGGGCAAATAACAACAGTTTGGGGACATTTACATCATTGGAATGCTGATGTGCAGGCAGAATAAAGACACAAAAAGTGTGGTTACAACGTCAGCAGAAGTGTAGACATGGTAATCAAGTACCATAGATATTTAATCTGAAATATACTGCTATAATTTAGTGGTCTATGTATTCAACCTGACCAAAGAACCAAGCTTTTTTAGTCACTGCTAGTAATAAGTCTGCAACCAGAGCAGCATTGTGGAAAATCCAGTTCGGTTGTATTATTCCACTCTTGCACTGCAAATAGTAATAAATTTGGGAGAGGTCTGCACCTATGCCATCCTAATACTCATTATAGAGTCTAAATGGTATTGTACAAAGAGATAAATTCACCCTTAATTATTAAAGTCAGAAAGACATAAACTGAAGCATAATGAGGAGTAGATACTCTGCAATATTAATAGGCACAGCCATCAAATATCTAACAAGTATAAAAAGTTAAGAAATATGTATTAATTTTTTATTTTTCCTAGTCAAATACTATTTCATCTTCATTTTGAAACCTAAAAGATCTTGTGATATCTGATTTACAGATGAAGGAGCAAGCCCTAACATCCTCTGTATTTATTTTTTATATTTATGTCCCATTTATTATTACTGTACTGTGCTTTCTTTGAAAAAAATTTAAACTTAAAAAGGTATCACTTAATGCAGATTTTTTAGCTACTCACTTTTATAATTTCAAAAGAAAAAAAAGACAAAGTCATTGTTGGAAGTCTCTTCTATATACCATAAGGGGCAAGGATACCATACACTATGGAGCCACCCATACCATCTCATTAAGGTAAGAGGTGACAGAAGAAACACTTCAAATGTGGCACATCTTTTATCTTTCAAACCACTGGCACAATTTTTAGATGCTTATGTCCCAGCTGAGAAAATACGTATGCACATGCTCAGCTTTAAAGACAGCAGAAGTACTTTTGAATTAATTGAGACTATCCAGTTACTTAATAATGTTATGTATTTAGGGAATGTGTGTCCCTCATCTGGTTAGGCCCTTTTTCTACGTTGCCTTTTTCCACCTATTCACTAAAGGGAATCCTGTGGGATGCAGCAGTTATTCTTTTCATAGGGTTATTACAAAAAGATAATGACTAGCATGTCCACTGTCTCAAAGACTAGGTAATTATTTTCTGCCTACCTGATTTCTACTGACATTTTCAATTAGATGCAGTGTTCTTAACCTCCCACTCTATGAGTCCAGTTCATTATTAAGCATCTGTTGCAAACCCATTGCAATGAGTTTGGGATGGCAATGAGTTTTTCTTAAATTTCTTGGCTTTACATTGAATCAGGTAAATCTTGCTTGTGTGTAAGAATTAAGGGAGGGAATAAATTAATGGGGTCCATCAGATACCCTGTGCAACACAGTTAAATATAGTGCTGGCAATTCCCTTAGTTCTCTTTCAGCTTGTGGTTATTATTTTCTTATTATAGTTTATTAAGGTGAGATGAGTCTATTCTCTGCTATGTGTTATTTCCTTTTGCCATTTACTGGGGGAGATTTTAAGCATCATATTCTGTATGCTGAACTTTTAATTTTCCAAAGTGGGCAATGGAAATATTATATAACCTCACTGTTTCCAATGAGTTATGGACTTCTGTTTATTCCTCTACTCAAAGCATTTTTGCTTAGTTAGTAGTACAAATTGCTAATCGTAAAAGTTTACTACATCACTTGGCACTAAGAATGAAAATGGAATTGGCTCCTTGCCCTTCAGAACTCCAGCAATACTCACTCCTCCTTTTTCCAAGAAGTCTGATTAACTGATGACAACAAACAAAATACTACCATGAACCCGTAGAACACCACTGCATGTCTTCTATGTTCCCCAGTGAGACTCTCAGGGCAGGATGCTGTGCGCAGCTCAGGCAATAACAAATCCAACCATTCTCTTACAAACTAATATCACTGCTCTTGACAGTGAGTTGGTAGCAGATAAGAAAAATCTTGTTAGGTACCTTGAGTATGCACCAGAGAAAAGTTGTTGAGAATTCATAGCAAAAATATTAAAATAATTTCAGGGTTGGGAAAAAAGAGTTCTGAGATAGAGTTTAGAGAATTTATTATATCCAGTTAGAGCAAAGACATAGCAACTGTCCCCCCATAAATATAAAATTCTTCATATTTAATAAAGTAATTGCAATTATAGAGATAACTAGGAATAATTGTTCTTACTAGTAAGAATGAAATTAAAAATAATAGACATCTGGAATGAGACAAATGTGGAGCAAAGAATAAGAAAATTATACAAAGATTTTTAAAGCGATGAAAGAAACCTTCCAGGAGGTCATTAGAAAAAAATTCTTGCAAGCTCCACATAACTCTGTCTGCTTATGCTTCTTCTGTCATATTCTCCGAGCTTCTTAGGAACTCTCTTCCCATGTCCCTTCTAAAAGTTACTCACTTACATTCTTGTTTTCTTTATTGCTCCTTTTAGGCCATCTTGCAAATGTGCAGCATCATTTTTTGTTTTTACTTTATGTGTAAGGACTGTGCATTTGCAATCTTCTCTTTTATATTAAACTCACACCCCTGAAGCCTTCTAAAACTTGATCCTAGTGATGGCATCTCTTCTGACCCTAGGCAATGGCCTAGCCTATTGTCCCTGCATGGCTCTATGATCCCTCAGACAGAGGCAAAGACATACTTTTCACAAGCAACTACTGATTCAAGATAATTCCACTAATAAGTGCCATCTGAAGACACACGCTTTACATTTTGAACAATCAGTATCTGATAGTCTTTGAAACTGGTCTCTACATTTGAACTTCTTAATGTTTGTGATACACTTAAAAATTTGGAGTATTTTTCCAATTTTTAAAATAATATACTGTATAAATAGACTATATAAAGTCTTTTCAGGTGCCTGTTTGGGAATGTGCTCTTACTAAGTGTTGTCACAATGCAATGCTGTGGGTTAGCTGAGAGAATAGAAGAAGTTTCCAACAGTAATGAATCTGCCACTCTAATAATTTATGAGCCATTTTTTCAAACATCAGCTATCAGATAGAAGAGGGAGGAATAATACAATATAACTTCTGCTTTACAATAGTCTGTTAATATAGAAAGACAAAGGCGCCTGTACTCTAAGGAAGCTGTCAGCAAAGTAGCAGGCTGGAGGTCCCAGTATCACTTACAGTACTGGCAAGCAGGAGGTCATTTCTGGGGAATGAAGCTTGAGGAGAGAAGCAAAAGAAAAAGGCTATGGGGGGGTAGAAGGAGAGAATCAAGGACCTTTCTTCACCATTCTTTTTTTATAGCTTTTGTGTGTCTGGACTGATTTGTTGTGAGAGAGCTGCTGGAGACAGTATATTTGGCACAGGACAGGATAGCTCAAAGCCAAAAGGATGGTGCTATTGCCAGTTTAAACCATGGCTTTTCTTTTATTTTTTTTCCCCCTCCTTCCTTTTTCTTTGAAGGAAGGAAAAGAAAAAAGGGGAAGAAAGGGACTTGCAATGAAAACCAGAGCAGTGGGTTAACAACAACCCTGCAGGCTTCAGTAGACTGGAAAGATACACGAGGCACTTCCTCTACCATCTGGCATGCAATTCTGCTGCTGCTGCTGCTCTTAGTACATAACTTCAGAGTGAATAAGCAAACAAATAAAACTTTTTAAGAGACACTAATTATGAAACACCAGCTATTAATCTGCCAGCTTACTCTCTTCCCTTTTCTCCCACCACAGTATTCCTTTCCTCAAGTCTTTTCCAGTTCTCTTGTCTACCTATGAAAATAGGCACTGCCTTGTCATGTTTTCAGATGATTCTATTCACCTTTTGCTTGGCATTGGTTCTCAGGATGAATGAAGGCCAGAGCTAATACATTCATATTTCTCTCATAATCACTTCAGCTTCTTTAACTCCGAGTCAGATAGAAATGCAGTTAGAAATAAAGCCATCCATCACTGTTGAATGATTTCCTTCAAGTCTGGCTAGAAGTGAGAAAGCAAAAGAGAAGTTTTAGGTCAGTTGAGCTTGCTCAAAGACCGTTTAAAATGCAGTCACAAACGGCTGGGTACATTGAGTATCTTTTAGGAGTATCTTTTAGTTCTGATGGCTTTTCTCAAGTGCAATGAAAAGCATGATGTTGAGGTCACATCTTCAAGTTAGGTAAAACATTACACCACAACTGAAGTCAGAGAAACAGAGAACTTGCAAAATCTGAGCATTCTGTTAATTAGAAGTCTCTGAGAATGATGCTACAGCTGATTTTGGATGTTAAAGAATCTCATAATCAAGCATAGATCTTCCAGGCTTTCCTGTGACCAGCTTTTATGTGGGTCCATTCTTATAACAAAAAAGACAAAAAGAAAGTCAGTTACAGAAAAATCTTGGATGAATTAAGGATAAATAATCACTGAATTGTAGTACAACTGTGAAGCAGAAGTTTATTAAGAATGAGATGCATTAATTTCAGACACACCCACTAATGCCAAACAACAATTTTTACACTTCTTTTTTTTCATTTGCAACTGCTGATCCTTACACTGGCCAGGATTTAAAAAAGAAAATCCAACCTACCTAGAACAGTTGCTTTCATTTGACCATAATTTTCCAAGAAAAAAAATACATACTGTCTGTTAGGTTTATTATATAGCTTCTCGAAATACAGAAACTATAACAACAACAGATTTCAGTTTCAGTTTGGTTTTTGACTGGCCTCCTGCTTTGCATCTGTAGAACTGTAAGTGAAAACAAATACAACAATTAATCCTTCAGTTTTGGCTGCCTGATCCTATCCATAAGACAGGTACATACCCAAGTGGCCCAACTAGAGGTTGTACAAAATTTTCGCAGATTTAAGGATAAAAAAAGGTAGTGTAGACTTTAAAAACTCAGAAGATTGCTATTGCTGCTACCAAGAAGGCTGGTGGTTAAGTTCTGTTAAACACTTAAATACTCAGATATTAATCTAAAAATTGGTCTGGGCACCTGTGAATGCACTGTCTTCCAAGATGTCTTGTATCTTTTATCATAGAATCAGCAAGGTCAGGAAAGACCTCCGAGACCATTGAGTCCAGCTTTTGGCAGAACACCACCTTGTCAACTAAACTATAGCACTAAGTGCCACATCCAATCATTTCTTGACCATGTTTTGCATCCAGTAAAGTTTGGAAATGCCAGAAGGACAGCTTTAACTTCACAGTGCTCTGGCACATCTGCTCTTTGCCCCAATGGGGACCACAAAGCACAGAGGTAAACAAAGAGGAAAAACCATAACTGAAAAAAGTTACTGCAATTCCTTGTAGCTCAAAACTAAAATTAATTAGTTGGGGTGTAAGGTTTAAACGACCCAGTAGGCAAAGAATCTTCAAAGTCTTTTGGACTTCAGTTGCCTGGTTCATCCCTTTCTGACAGGAACATTGCTTTAAAAAGTAATTGCACAACATGCACTAATATGAAAAACCTACAATATCTCAAGAAACCATATGAAATTAAAAACAATAAAATTTGTCTTTCTATAACCACAGATTGTATGAATGTGTTAATGCTTGTGCTACTGTACTGCACCATCTATTTGTTTTCTTTGTTCTTAACCCCTTTGTTTTATGAGTCAGGATATCCTGATGCAAAGGACTCTGCAAAATATCAGGACAACAACAATAGTATAATACTTTGGAAGTGCTTCACAATTTTCAAGACAGAGCTACTAAGTGTAGTAGGCTAATAATATGGCACTGCAGTCTGCAGTCAAAACTTTTGCAAACCGTTAGAGTTGTGAGTTTGAGGTTGGAACATTAAGATAAGCAAGGCAGAGGATTCTATAAAAGGGGAAACAGCACGCTGGCCCTGCTTATGTTGATGTGAGGAGGAAAGGCTTGTGCACTCTGTTTTCTACATGTAAGGGTGTTAATTTTCAGTCCATTCTCTTGGCTTCTCTTCCTCTGTAACGGAAGATCCTGCTTGTTTGCCAGTTTTCTTTTCCATCTGGAGAGATGGCAGAACATTGAATGTAACCTGGAGAAGATAAATGTATTAACTATGCATGCTAGGAAATATTATAATGTTTACTCAAATCCAACTAAGTAAGTCCTGTGCAATTTACTGAAAACTAAGTGCTGGTGCAAAAGCTCACCCTCCACTCTTCTGCTGTACACTCAGTAAAGTAACAACTAAGGGGCAGACCAGTACCAACAGCAGGCTAAAAGGGATATATTGTATAAAGGCAATATAAAAGCTGTGAAAATCGCGTGGCCTCTCCGGGTCAGGGATCCCAGGGAAGAGCCCGTGCTGTTGCAGGGCCTGGCCCAAGGCATCCCACAATCCCGGGGAATCACTCGCTGACAGCTGCGCAGCCCCACCACGCCACCTCATTGCTGCTGCATGAGACACAGCACTGTCCCGGGTGCCTTTCCCTTGTTTTTAAAGATTAGTGATGAATAATTTTCTCTTCGTCGTAGTCTGTGAGCGATGGCCGCCACCAGGCAGTGTCCTAACGTGAACCCATTCAGGTGGAGTTTTGCAGCACCCTCCCCCAAAACTCTCCTTTCAGCAACTCGTTTCTCCCCGATCCCTCATGAGCCGGCACCTTCGCTGCCCTTCTGCAGGCGCGGACGGGGCGGCCGTACGAACGCAGGGCAGGCGGGGGCACCGCACGCCGCCAGCGGGGCTTGTGCTCCGCTCCCGGCCCTCGCAGCGTCCCATGAATCACCGCCCTTCTCCCGCCGAGGGCAGCCGAGGTGACGGCGGGGTTTGACTAAGAGGCCAAAACCCCCACCGGCTCCGTAGCCAGCCGAGCGAGGAGGAAGGCGGGGCGGTGGGAGCTCCCCCATGGCATCACCGCAGGGATAAAGTCAAACCGCCCCCGCCGTAGCGCCCAGCGGGGTTTGAGGGGCGGCTCTGCCGGGGCAACCCCTCTGCCCGCGACTGCCGGGCTGCGCCAGCCCCCGCTCCGCGCCGCCGGCAGCCCGGCCCGAGCCCACGCCCCCGGTCCCGGCGCTGCGCCGGCATGAGCGGCGGCTCCGCGCCTGCCCGCCAGCCGCTGCGCCCCGGCTGCCGGCGCCTGGCGGCGGGCTGAGGGCGCGCAGAGGGCGGGCGGCGAGCGCGGCTGCCGGAGCCCGGCGCTCCTTCCTTCCGCGGGGCCGGGCGCGCCCCCTGCGCGGGGCGGCGGCGGTGGGCGGCCGGGCGCCCCCGCCCCGCTCTGGATGCCCATCGCGGCTGCTCGGGCCGGGGGGTGGCTGCGGCTCCCCGGCGCGGGGCGCGGGCCAGGATGCCGGTGCTGGAGCGCTTTTTCCCCGCGGCAGAGCCGGGCAGGCGGAGGAGGACGGGGGAAGAGCCGATGCCCTTTCCCATGGGCAGCCTGCCCGGTTATCAGCAGGGAACCCTGGCCTGGGATTTGCCCGAGATGATCAAGATGGTAAAGCTCGTTTGGAAATCCAAGGGAGAGCTCCGCGGGGCGAAGCACAGAGGGGTTCTGGAGAGCGAGGATGCCCTGGGCGGTTCGGCAGGTAAGTGTCCCCCGCCCTGCTGCTCGGAGGAGCGAGGGAGCACACGCAGCTGGGGGCCGCGGCCGGAGCCGGCCCGTCCCGTCGCGGGGCAGAGCCGCCGGGGCCCAGGGCTGGAAAGGCGCGGAGCGCTGCCTGTCCGACCGGCGGCCGGGATGGAAAACGTGCTTTTGGCAGCTCCCTCCCCCGCGGGGACAGGCATACCGGAGTTTGTGCCGGATCTGAAACCAGGTCCATTTGCCGATGGCGCTCTCCCGGTCCAATCTGTTGCGTGGTTTTATACGCAGGGTGATAAAAGCTCGGCTGAAAAGTAGAGCAAGTAGCTCCGTGGCTTTGAGGCTGACCTCGGCCAGCCGCTGGGCTGGGTGCCGGCGCGGGGGAGCCTCTCCCCGGCCCGCACGGAGCTCGGCACGGCGGCCCCGCGGCCACGGTGACGGGGGAGCGGCCGGGCAGCGCGGCCGCTGCGGGAGCTTCCCCGGTTGCTTTCGTCGTGCCTTCCGAGCGCATGGCCTGTCCTCTCACACCGCCGAACACACACCGATCTTTGCGTGCGCTGGGCTAATATCACATGCTCTGCCCGCGCTTCCCTTGTGCAAAGCGGAGCGACTCCCTTACTTGTGTATTGTTGGCCACCGGTATGAAAAGCTTGAGACCAATTCTTGGAGTAACGCTGCCCCATCCCACTACTTTCTCTTTAAACGTGCTGTATTACTGGCTAAAGAGCACATGCTTTCCTATAAATCTTGCATGTCAGTATTTTCCTAACTCACCAACATATGGCACCACATCACGTGATTTATGGAAGTCCAGGTTAGACTTAACTACATTTTTATTAAGTAGAGACGAGTTGTCAGGTTAGCATGGTACTTCTGTTCTAATTCTGCATCTTGACCCATGCTCCGCATTGCTTATGGTTCAAAACATCTTGCCTTATGTTGGAGGCAACCTCTTGCCTCCTTCAAAACCTCTTGCCTTCTCTTGAATACAGGATTGTAAAGCTATAGTATCAACTGCTAATGTTTTATTCGCCTGTAATTGTATTACTGTGATTTAATAGACTTAGTGAAACTGTGTGGCTCATTCCTTCAGAACTCTGCATTATCTCATCTCTGCAACTTGGTCACTAAATTCTTCCAATGCACTCAGTCTTCAAAGATTATGTCTTCACCTTCCGTTGGTGTGCCCTTTATCGAGATCTATAATTGACAGTATTTTGTACAAGAATAATTTAATTTCTTAGGTAAAATAACCTCACTGTAGGTATTCGAAGTGCCTGTGTGTGTATGTATGTATGTATTCTCTGTGTAATTGTATAAATAAACTTGAATATTAAATAAGAATCGGTGTATCACTTTTGAATGCCCACTAAGGTTGACTGGTTGGCCATTGTGTGTTCATTATTTCAGATGTTTGCAGTTTAACCAAAAAATGCTGGGTTCCCTTCTGTTTTTGAAAAAGGGAAGATAGTTCTTTGGCTCTGAGGAAGATGTACAATTGGCCACCCCACCCTTTGGGAATCACTTCAGCTTAAAAGAATAATAAGTAAGAGTATTGTGGATAATGAAAGAGAAGGTCAAATTGCTCTTTAAGACATGGAGCAAATCAGCTGGGAAGGTACTGTAGCCAACCAGGGAGATTGTGGTTTGTGTGGTGAATGCCGAGTGTTCAGAGATGGACCCTAATAAAACAACCTAAGAAATCCTGCATTGGTTACACCTTATGTTTGAGTCATAGTGGTTTTTCAGTGTGCTTGTGTTTTATCTGGTGAAATTACTTTCATTAGGTAACAAATGAGATTCGCCGTCAGATTCCCAGAGGCAAGTAAAAATGAGCATGAATGTACAGAGACAGATTAGTCCACTAGCAGGATGTGAGTAACTTGCATTTACTCAAATGGCCATTAATCGTATCCTGTGGAGGGACAGTCCTCTTCATGATGCCAGATCCTATTTCATAAGCTCAGCTTGCACCAGTACAAATCAGAGCAGAAGATGACTCTTAACTCTCAACACTTTAAATACGAATCATCAGACAGTTTGTGAACCAGACCTGGGTTGCTGGTTTTTCCTCCTCAGCAACAGTCATCCTAGTAGTTTTCCCTCTTGTGGTTTCATTTTAGTCACTTTAAGTACATTGGAGTATGTGGGAAAACCAGTAAATGCTGAAATCTAGTATGCTTTATTAAGTACAGAGTCAAAGAATGCAGAAATGGGAAGAGAAGATAGTCATTTGGAAGACTCAGTAGTTTGAAGTACTCAGCTTCATGTTTGTATGGTGTTTTGTACATGTTTGACTCCTTAAAAAAATGAACAAAACTGTATCATTTACATGTTATAAAAAAGGCAGTACATAGTTGGGAATCAGATTTTCTTCAAGTGAAGTTAAAGCAAATAAGTTCTGCTTGAGGTACTGCTGGCTAGGCAAATAAATGTTGATTGTTCAGTAGCAGAGTTCACAACACTTTCCACATCAAGGGCTTTTTCACTTGAATTTGTAAGTGTTCATGTGATAACTCATGTCCTGTTATCACATCCTCATAAAACTACTTTGCTTACAGTAGAAGAGGAAATAGATATGAATTCTGGAAGGAAACTGTCAGGATTTCTGCCTTGCTTGATCATGATAATAGAGATTTAGCTAAGCAAATTGGTTTCCTTGCCTGAGTGACTGGAGTGGGTTTTGAGCTGGCTTTCAAGAAAGTTACAACCCTCTGAGGGTGAGGAGGAAGGAGAGCCATATCTGCACATGATGTGAGTTCTGTGGATGGCACTGTCTTGGGGACCCACATAGCCATAATTTATACCACATTCCTCTTTCCTGAGGTAGAAGTAGAGAGATGCTAGAGAGCAAAACTATCTGTGCATCCTGGGCTCTCAAATGTAAGACCTATGTCTGTGTCTTTCATCTTGTTCAGTACTGAGAATTAGCTATTTAATCTCCCTGCAAAAAAAGTGTTTGCAAGACATCATGCAGCATATAGCTGGGATGAATGAAGAACTCTGATCTCACAGAGACTGCCTGCCTAGGATGATGATTTATTTTCACTGCCAAAGCAATAAAATTCACATCTTGAACCTTCTTGTTGCACTGCTTTTTAAAGTTAATATCAGTTAAAACTACAGACCTTTCTCCTGCTCCTGGCCTGCTGTTGCTTGGTAACTCTTTTTTTCCCCCATTTCAATCCCTGACCAAATCAGCACAAAACTGTGGTTTGGTGAAGCCTCTCTCTGGCTGTGCCAGAAGCCATTTTGGTGGGAAATTGGTGTAATTTGATATCATTCCTTATAGTGTTTTGAATAGATTACTTGCAAGCCAGTCCTTTTGACTTGATTAAAATAACAGCATGTGTTGATTCTTACCTGAAACTATGTTGATCTCTAGGAGGGAACTGTGTTCTGTTTATGACCCTAACTTTTTTATCACCCTTTCCTAGAGTTCGGCAGTATCTTTGCAGATTAAACCTGATCAGGGAACGGGTACAGGTTTGCCTCCAAGAGTGTTCCTTATGAGCATTAGCAACCTCTTAAACTTGCAGTGATCATCCCAGATAACTCCAGAGAGACTTTGTGTATTGAGTCTTGCACGTGTGCAGACATGCAAGACTTTCAGAGAAGGTGCAGTGCTACTTAGAATTATCAAGGTCTGTTGAGAACACTGGGTTTTTTGAAATAACTCTGAACGTTTTTTTCCACTTATCTCTCTCTGTCTGTACATATTTTCTCAGAAATGTAGGTTCTGATTCATGAATGCATCACACTTCTTAACTGATGAGTCCCTTTGCCATGAGTAGGAAAAACAAACCAGTACTGCACATCACTCCTATTACAGTTTGCTTCTGGGAAAATTTCTGTCGGTTGTTGGTGTGTCTGTTTGCTTCTCCTCTTCAATCAACAGTCTCCTTTCCAATTCAGTAATCCATTCAAATGTCTTGCCATTGTCCAAACTGATGTTGCTCTTTCAAATTTTACAGCTGTACGCTGAGCAATCCTTGTGATACACCCGTTAGAGAGGTCAGAGTCAAATCATATGTGCTTCTTTGGTGGTCACTTGAAGGTCTTCCCTAAAGTTATACACAGGACCTCCCAAAGACTCAGTTCTTCATGGTGTCCAAGGAAACATGCCTTCTACTTAATTTTTTTTTTATATAACAACTTTTATCATGCTGTGCAATAGCTTTGCTGTGCTTGTTAAAATAAACTTCATGCTTCCTCTCCCCATCATTGCATCTGGAATCTGACCCAAAATGATTTGAGTCAGAAGGAACCTTTAGAGATAATCTAGTTCCATCCTTCCTGCCATGAATAAGAACAGGGATCTTCCACTAAACCAGGTTGCTCAAATTCACATCCAACCTAGCCTTGAACACTTCCACGGATGGGGCATTCACAGCTCCTCTGGGCAACCTGTTCATGTGTGTACTTGCTGAATTGTGTTTAGTTGGGACACCTTGAAACTTTTGCATGTGTTTGTAGTTCCACTGTAATAACTAATAATCATAAAATGCTTAGAATCTGTGAATTACTGAGAACCAAATGGGGGTTTGGCTAACAGCTTCAAAAGGTCATCATTTTGTGTAATTGATGTTGAGCATGTAGGTGCCACAGATGTAGATCCAAGCAGTAAATAAAACATGGGAGCTATCAAATGGCATTATCCTAGCATCTGACCAGTCTCCTGTGTTATTCCTTAGGTTGAAATCAGCTTTCAGCTTTGTTTATGTCCTGCTGAGAGATGCACAGCAGGCAGGAGGGCAGCTTGCTATATATTTCCTTTATTTTTCCTCCACCAAGTTTTATGTTGAGACTTGTTAAATCCATTACGGTTACTAGGGACAAAGAAAGTGAATTTGATAGGATCAAGGCTACCTGTGGCAACTTTGTCTGCTCTCTGACTGTTGTGTTGGAACACCAGCCCCTGAGAATAAGTATGCTCTTCTATATTCTTGTGAAGAGCTGGTTGAATCAGTGGGACTGTGTGTGATGATCTCATTAAGAACAGCGAAATGAGGCACTGTCCAGTACCACTTCTATAGTGTGTGTAAAGTAGACCAAGAGATAGAATTCGAAGTACATCTGTAGGTAGTGCTGTTCAAACATAACTCTTCAGTTTGCTGGCTGAACATAAGTTAATAATACATGTAAATTGGGGTTATTTTTTCCGAAAGACTTTAATAATTAGAGAATTGTGTTCAAAGATTTAAAAAAAAAATTTTGAGACATTAAATTGTGGTCACTGTTCAAATTAAGGCCCTTATTTAGCACCTAGCTCTTTATCTTAAAGTATTTTTAAAATATAGTATAGAATGAGAAGTTGAACTGCTAGTAGAAATCTTTGGTTTTGAATATGTCAAAATGAGCTGATGTGAGTGTGTTTGTCAACCAAAGTCTGTTTATTTTGTGAGGCCAAATTTTCACTCAGTTCTACTTAGCCACTGTGCTTAACCACTCTCTTTTACTTCATTCCTATGTAAATTTTCTGTTGAGGATTTGTTAGGATTTTGGGATATTGTTTAAGTTGGAAGTGACCTTTAAGATGACCAAGTCCAACCATTAACCTAGCACTGCCATGTCCACCAA